AATAGACGATAAATTTTATCTTCACCTTAAAAACTCACTTAGAATTACAAAGATATAAAATTTTTTAAATAAGAAATAACGAACGCAATTACAGAAATATAAATAAACAACTTATTGAAAGCGCTAAATGAAGAATTTGTAAATCCTTGTTGATCTCGCTGCGTGTACAAGGAAGTTAATAATCTAATACACATTCATGTAAGTCCATAATTTTGCCTTGATACGATACCGTTATAATACCTTTATATATAAAGTTATGTTATGGCAAGCTATGCATTATCTTCTAAGCTTCTGTAAGCAATCTAGTTTGTATAGTAAACCATTTAATAATATTCTAATTTACGGTCCGTTTATTGTCCCCTCAGGATATACAATCTTGGTCAGAAATAATAGCTATATCTATATATTTTCATTTATCTGGAATTCTTTTACCTGCATTGTTATCTGTTGGTTACAAGCATTATACATAAATTAAAAGGGTTTCTCGAAACAAAAAATAATTTACAGCAAATACTATCAATTTTTAAGCTAAAACTGTAAATAATGATTAATAAATAAAATGCCTAATATTTTTGGCCAAAATTGTACCTTTTTAGAAATTATAGAAAAAAATAAAAATTTATTACTGGAGTAAATAATGAACATTAATACTCGGGTATTACGTAAAACAATTAATGTTTTATTACTCGAAAACTTTTCGATGCTCCGATGTAAGCCAAGCGAATATATCATGCCTTTAATCTTCTATGCGAAACGATGGTGTGGTATCTAAGAACGGTATTCATAGTCGGATCTTATATTTAGGACCGTCTTAAGTACAGTCTTAAAATGTCATGAACTAATCAAAGGATCGCATCTTAAGACATTACTTAAGAATGAACTACGAATATCTTAAATATAGCGAACTATCTCTTGATCTTACGATAGACGCCCGATGGTATCTTTAGTTTTTTTTACGTACACACACACACTACTATCTACATTTTAAGCTGCAATACGACGAGGTGTATGCACACTCGCTACATCTGACGTAAAAGGTCTATCGACTTTGTATGTGCTGGTAACAGCGCGAAAGTCGATTCGCGCAATCGGATCGTGAGCTCGATTCGATTACTACCGAGTGTAGCCTGTTGCACTGACGCATTCGACACTCGATGTACTATGAAGTTGCGCTAAAGGGGTGAGAATCCCTTTCGGTGGAATTCACGCACCCGAACAGGTTTATACGATAAACGCAATAAAAGAAAAATACGGGGAAGAAGACCAGTGATCATGTATATTCGTTGCAAAGCAAAGAATCTATGAAAAAAGCGTCGAAAAGTCAGAATGATTAAAAAATGTAATAGAATACGCGAATTCTTTATGATTATCGATAATCAATAGCGCGAAAATTTTACCAGGTGAAAATAGATAATCCTCTCAAAATCTAAATTGACTGGTTCCATGAAATAAAAAAGAACATTGATAAAATGATTAACTGTATGCTCTATGGATGCTAAAATTATGAAATTTACAGAATGGAATTCCAGTTTGGCTTACGCGATCTCATTGTTGATGTCGCGATTATCTCGAAGGAACGTCCGCACATCGCGCGCTGATAATAAGGAATTATCGACCACGAAGCGCGCGCGCGAACTTTGTTTTGCACGTGCATCATCCTAGCATTGCTGATCGTCGTTAGCGGCAACGATAAGCGACAACGCAACTTGTCGACATCATTGAGGAGCGTCGCCTGGATAACAAGTTACTGTCGCGACGTCGACGTATTTTGAAACGCTAAAGTTCTCAAGACATATATTGGACTTTCTACAATAAATCATTATCTAAGCTAAATCTTAAACCGTGAACAATTGACTGATCATAGTCAATTATTCTTCTCACATTCGAACTAATCAATTCTAATGGCTTAAGACTTAAAAATTAAGTAACGACTTATTGTAGAATGATTGTGTGTATTAGTCATGCGATCAAAATCTCGGATATATATACTGTTAAATTCATAGTGTCAAATTGTAGCCACAAAGTTTAAGTCATTTTTAATCATTTCTGTAGGTTGCAACTAATACTACTTAAATTTAGTTTATTATTTATTAAGTGCACACGTTAATATGAATATTGTTTACTTTGAAATTAACTACAGAAATCGATTAATTTACAATACATTTTGACATAGAAGTTAAAAATGTTATTTAACTCCAAGAGATTAGATTGTCAATGCTCCTTTGATACCCAACAGTGTGGATACAATAATGAGTGAATGTAATTGATACATGAAATCAAGTATGAATAAATAAATTCGATCAAAATTTCGAACTATTAAATTGTCAATTTATAATATAAAACAAGTGTTTTAAAACTGATATGTTCTCTTCTTATGAAATTTTCGCAACGTATATAACTAAACAAGAAGACGTTAAAGCAAACGTGAATTATTCTGTCCATTGCTTGCATAACAGAACGCAGGAATAAACAAGGTAAATCGCGCTAATAAATATTTCATGTGATATCGAAATGTGAGTGCATTGAAGCGAACTCAGCAAGCTAACAAATACGAAATTAGCTTTCCAACGCATTCGGCGGGAGTTATTCTGATCCTGCATATTTGTCATCATCTCTTTGAATATAATGCACAGAATATTAAATTGAAATATAAGTGACGTAGAAAGAAAAAAAAATATATATATATCCTAATATTATTGTAAATAATACGATTAGAAACTTTTCCGATCAATTCGAAATCCATTTTTCAATAATAAGAATTAATCTTCAGCTTTTTTTTGGGGTTAATCCAAATTAATCGAAAAAGATTTTGCTATTCACACATTTACACATTAAAAGATTGATTTTCAAACAGTTAATCTTGTCCTTTATCGTTTATTATTCATATAAATTATAGATCACTTTTTTTTTAAGAAAAACTTGACTTTAAGAAAATTTGTAAAAAAAATTCATGACTAAAAAGATGAACAATAAAATACGGTGCTTTATGTATATGTATATCTTTTAGATAAGATGAAAATTGAATACAGTGCATCGTTTGACGTACAGAAGTTGTTTTTCGTTTTGTGACTTTTGACAACAAAATTCTCGATTTTATCAAGTATATACGCGAAATCATTTTCTCATATCATCTTCAGAGATTTTCTCTCATTCATTGAAAAATTTGAGCAATACAAAAAGTAGTTGGAAAAATCGCTCCTTTATTTCAACATTGATACGATTTAAAACATGACTTCCGAATTATATACATAAATGAATCAGATAAATATTAACTTAACAATTATCAAAAGTACACTAGCTTAATTTTATAAAAAATTATCCCAAACGTTACAATTAAAAAATATTATTTAAAAGAATATCAAAATATCATCAAAATCGTCACAACTCAAAAAGGAAAGAAAAGATTTTTTAAGAGAGAGTTGCACTATTAAATTCACATTATCAAAATTATATCAAATTTCACTTCTTTTTAATTATTTCTATATTTGTTAATTTAACTTAAAAACAATAAAATTAAACAATTCTCAGCTCAAGAAAATGTCTTAAATATATAATAAAATTCAAATTATTATTTGTTAAGTGTATGCGTTAATATGGATGTTGTTTATTACAAAACTAACCACAGAAATGGAAATTATACATGGAAGTTAAAAATAACAGAATCTTGTTTAACTCAAGAAATTGGATTGCTATTACTCCTTTTATATCTAACATAACATTTGAAATGAAAATAACAAAAATGACATTTAATCATGTTAAGAACATATTATAGAATATATTATATTCTTTTGTACGTAAAATATATTGTATGTAGAATATATTATATTATATTCTTCTGTAGTAGAATATGTTATATCAACATGATCAAATGTCATTTTTTATCATTCGATTAATAATTTTCTATCAAGTTAAAAAGGAGTTTCCTTCTTTTCTTGAGAAACTTAAGTTTGTCACTTTTGAAATAAAGGAGTAACATATTGGCAGTCACTATCATTCTTTTCACATTCAAATTGCTCATGCTGTTCTAAATAATTAATTCAACAAGAATTCTACAATTCGTACAGGATATTTTTAAAAATGCAAAAAGCCTTAATTAATAATTTGTGATCAAGAAACACAATGACAAGGACATAACGCATTCTTACAAATTTAACCAAAAAACATATCAAGTCAAGAGAAAATTAAAATGACTTCATTTTCATCTCATAAAAGTCAAAATGATGATTTTTCATTACAAAACTTGACTATTTCTTACCATTAAGAATTAAAATAAAATCATTTTGACTTTTTATTGAATTTTGTGTATTCCTTGAATACCGATATTGGAAAAAAAAAACTTTTATTAGCGCAATCCTCGAGTGAATAAAATTCCCGCGGGTTTTAAAAGACTGACGGACATTTTACGCGGGGACGAACCCCGCGTCTTTCGCAACAGGGAAAGGAGGGGAGGGGAGGATAGGAGGGGGAGGGGGAAGAGGGAGGAAAGGGGTGCATTGTGATACTCATGCTCGACGAAATGACCGAATGCCGAACGCGGAGCGGCGATCGTCCGATTCGCATCGGACTCGCAATTTGATTTGTCGGAATCCGACGGGCGAGCGAACGCGCCCGACTGTTATCGGACGCGAGCGAATCGGTCTGTCGGCCGAGCATGCCGGCGACGCGCGTCGCGTCACGGAGTACATACGTTCACGGCGTTCACGCCGTATGTCAGGAGCTCACGGAATAAAGGTAAATGGCGCCCCGCGCGTCTCCACGAAAACCTCTCGGAATCGGCGGCGTAGCGACGAAAGTGAGACGAGAGACACGCGCGCATCGCGCGCCGTGCCCTCACGATCATTATGCCGATAAATGGCGACGCGCTTTCTCGCCGAGCGAACGAGAACGCGGAGTCGGACGTCGCGTCGCGTCGCGGCGCGACGGGACGGGACGAGACGGGACGCGACGCGTCGCGTCGCGTCGCGACTCGACGCGTGATAATGATTGGCGCGCGCACTCACCCTGTGTCCAGATTCCTCGAGCCGCTGCCTCTTGGAGTGCGGACCGTCTCCGTTGAATGCCATCCTCCGTTATACACCGGGCGATGATACGTTTGAATCGGGACACTCGGCGCTGCACGACGGCGACAGCGATAGCGAGACAACGACGACGACGACAATGACGACAACGACAACGACACGAGCGTGTTGTGTATACCGCTCGTGATATACCTTTTAACACCGTGCCGACAATCTTCGTGCACGCGGACGGGGAAGGGGGGAGGAGGAGAAAATAATAATCGGTAGGACACACGACGCGGCGAGAACAGACAAACGCGCGAGAGCGGCTTAAAGGAAACTGGATCTCGCCGGAGGACGTCAACGGTTCGTGCGAACTGGCAACCGGCTACTGTGACGCGCCCTGCCGGTGGCGCCACAGAACGCTTTGCATGGCCGTCGTTAAGCTGCCGTTGTGCGCGCCAAACGCCGCCGAGTATCACGCTCCGATTGGCTCGTCACTTGCTCGCGCGACGTGCCGCTCGCTCCCATTGGACCTTGCAAATCCACTGAATTTTCATGAGAGATAATATCGGAATGCGCGCTATCGCAATGTGCATCGCGCGAATAAGATGCACTTTCCGAATGTAATCCAATCAGTTTACTTATCGAATTTGTACGATATCTTTAATTAAAGTATATTTAACTTTTCATATTCAAATTTAAATCTAGAGTATCAACTGTTTGGTTGTCTAATTAAAAAAATTAAATATTATAATATTAAAGTAAAATGCATATTCAGTTTTTATATTCAGTTTTAAATCTGTAGCGCACATCAATTGTTTAATTGTCTAATTTTCAAAAAATTTAAATTTACGAAGCCAAATGTAGTCTTCTATTAAAATATATGTTACATTTAAGAAAATAATTTAAATTTGAAAAATATTTATTTTTAATTAAATTGTATAAAAATTGTTAAAAGATTTAGAGCTAGAAAAAAATAACATTTTTTTATTTTAAACAATAATATTCGATCTAATTAAATTTTTAAAATTTTATTGTGATAAAAGGTATAAAAATTTTCAGACATAATCAAGAGCGCGATTGTTTAGTATTTTTCATCGATAACAATAAAAAATTTCGAGGAGACAATCTGGGATTGAAAACAGGCTTCAATATAGGAGTTAAATTATTTTCGGATAGATACAGGAATCTGTCCAACAACACCACAGTTTCCACCAATGGTGCTATCATTGTACGCAACGCTCCGAATATCACAATCTGCCGCCACTGATTTAGATAACATTTTATTTGCGGATTTTGTAAATCTGAATCTTTAGGTCGGAGATTTGGTTCGAAATCTGCAGTTGCGACCATGCAATATCTAAAAAAAACTTATTTGATTATCGCTATAATAATACATAGAATTTCAATAATCATAATTTTACTCAACTGTTCAAACGAAATAGGTTTCGTCACTTTGACGTTCCTCACTTGAGTGTGACGTAGCTGGCTATTTTGTTTTACTAGAATGGTTTCTAAAGCAGCTCTATAAGCATGCACCTAAAAAAAATACAGTTCGAATATCAAACTTATGATGCTTTAGGGCAACTACGATCAAACTCCAATTAACTTGGTTGATGTTACATGCTCTATCCAATAGAAGAGCACGAAACGTCATTAATTCAACCTAGATTGTTGCAAATCCAGTCGGTCAAAAACGCTATTAATCAATAATATTTTATTAAGTAATTCAAATAAAATTATTAAATCAATAGGATTATATTTCATGTATTAAAGAAAAGATTAAAAACGAATTATATATTAGAAATTTTATCGTGAGCGATTTTCATGATTCAATTAGTCGCTAATTGAATTAATTGGAATTCAGTCGAAGTCCTTAACATAATACTTAACTATTAAATCTTCATAGTTCCCAGTCTTTAATTTGTCACAATAGCTTTCAATAGCATGGCATGCCACTTCTAACGCTGTATAGGACAATTTGTGTTTTGTGAATGAAGACAGATATTTACTGAGTGGATATCCATTTGAAACATCCGCTGGATTTCTAAATGCATCATATCATTTAGTACAATCGTAATCTCATAAGCGTTATTTTATATGTATCTGGTAAACGTACTTTAATGTCAGCTTCATGTAACAGCATCCCACGATACAAATGAATCTTGTCTCACATTGAGATGTATAAAGTCTCAGTAACGTGGCTGCAAGATCTCCACATGGATGCAGTCCCACAATGCCAAATCCAGATTTCTTCTTATTTAAATGAAAATTATCGGAGAAAGTTCTTCTTATGTCTTTGATTATTTCTGACAGATCAGAATCAATATCCTCCAGTTTGATTGATATGTGTTGTGGCATATTTACTGGCAAGTCAGGCAGATATTTAGATAGAGACACTAACAATTCCTTATCCCACTTTCTGTAATTAAAATCTCAGATGAATAATAGTAAAGGAATAATAAGATTGCTATCCGCAGAACACAATCTGAAAATAATATTATATCAATATTATTATTTCCTACTCAGCGATACAAATATAATATAATATAAATGTAATATATATAGTATACGTAACATCAGTTATATTGGTAAGTAAGAAATTATAATGGCAATGTAATATTATGTTTCTTTCTTTGTACAGTTGATATTCTGGGTAGTAAAATAGCGAGATTGATTAGAGTAAAAAACGAAATGCGGGTTACCTGGCTTGCTGTGACAATAATGCGTCTTGTTCGATACATATTACATGTAGAACGTATTTAAATGCTAGAGATCTGGCTAAATGACCTACGCCTGCTCCAACATCTACAATGCACTCAGCGTTGGACTCTTGTGCACAGTCTGCGCATACCTGTGCAAAGATAAACCTCTTATAAAGATAAATCTCTTAGGATCTATAAATATTTCGCGTCTAATTCAAAGCAAAATAACGTCAATATGAATCAACTAACTGAAAAAATAACTTAATAATAATTTTAAAACCATTTTGACGTTATTTTTATATCATAATGACTTAATTTCCGCTAAAAACTGAAAAATATGTGTAGCTATATACCCGTGCTATTTGTTGTATCTCATGGCGTTTTTTTATTTTAACGTGTTTCAAAAAGAGATTATGTTTTTTCCGGGAATCATGTAATCCTTCATTTTTACATTCCAGAACAAAATTTTCCGAATTATTTTCAGACTTTTTTCTTCCATTGCATCGCCAGATGTTTTCATCATTTTGATAATCTCTATTTAGCTGCAAATTCTTTGCAATTTGTCGAAGTGTCAGCAATGACAATGGCCATACGCGTGAGCTGTAAAACAAATTATATTGTAAAATTATAAATAAAGAGCCTACAAAAATATGGTACGCTTTCCATTCGTGTTAATTATATTTGAATTTGAGATGTATTTCCAGATTTGTGTTTTATATCCAGCGTAAAACATTCTAGTAATAGTAAAGAAACAAATAGAAATTACAACATTCCAGTAATTACAATAACATTGCAAATGTTGCAGCAAATATGTTGTACTATATATAAAGGATAATTAAAATTGTCATAAATCTCAACTTTAATCTCGGTTTAACTTACTTTTTGTCGCTTTCTAACTCTGAGAAATATATGAATTATGTTCATTAATTTCTATCAATTCAGATTAACTTTTTAATCTCAGTTTAACTTACTTCCTATTTTTTCCTAGTTCTAAGAAATTAGAAAAACATAAAAACTAAGTAAAATCGAGATTAAAGTTAATCTACATTGGTAAATGTAAAAATGGACATTATAAAAAGATGAGGAGTGAATTAAACCGAGATTAAAGTTAATTTATATGTGCCCGTTTCTACCGATGTAGATTAACTTTAATCTTGGTTAAATTTACTTTTCATCTTTTCCTAATTCTAAGAATTAGAAAAAGAGTAAACAGAGATTAAAATTAATCTACATTCGCAGAAACGGACAAAAAAATGGACATAATTCGAAATCAATTTGAAGTCAATTGATATAATGACTTCTCACGCTTACCGACCGATGTGAAGTCACGTGCTTACCATGAGATGTCGCCAGCTAACCATTTTCCGAATTCGTCGGGCGACACGGTTTGCAAAGTGGTCTTCCAGCTGTTCGGCAGTTTCTTCCACAATTGCTCTTGGAAGAAATCCTACAATATGATTCGTCAAATTTTGAGGTCAATATGCTGTTCTCAAAAAATAAAGTGAAAATGACAGACGAAAGATACGTGAAATATGTATTAGGTGTATTTACGATGACACATCAACAAATGTATGCAATTAGGTTGAGAAAGAGAGAAATGCAGTTCAAGAAACGCTTCAGAATGCTGTACGATGCTAAAGGTATCATTATTGAATTACATACCACGACATACGAGTCTAACAACCAGCCGTATGTGTCTAACACGTTGAAGATTCTTTCGAGTGTTACGCGAGCCTTCAAGCAGGTTCTGCATGTGCACGTAACTACGGGGGCGGCCATTGTTGTGTCGAGGACGAATAGCTTGCATTACTCCGTGTGATAGGCAATTATATACTTTACTACATTATTAAGAATTTAAACGTGCTCTAAAGGCAGATTTATTTCGCATGTTATTTACAATATTTATCCAACTAGACTAATGCTTTTTTTATATCATTGTTCCCAATTCCATCAAGAAGAATTAAAAAAAAAAAGATAAAGAGTAAATCGAGGTTAAAATTTACGTATATTTAGACTTCTCTTACATGGCAACATCCAGTTATAAAATTGATCAATCATAGTTGTTCTTAGAAGAATGGAACGACCAGTGATTAGCCAGTTTCATAATTATGGATATTATTAAGTTCGATTAAGGATACCGTGTAAATGTAGTCATTGATAGAAATAGACAAGACCCAATTCCACTAATTTTAATTTGGGTTTCATCTCACCATTTTTCCTTTTATCTTTTTTTAATTCTTAGGTCTGTTGGAAAGAGATGAAAAATAAATTAAACCTCGATTAAGAGTTAATTGTGAATTGTGAAACTGAGCCTTGGAATTAGTAATTCTTAGAATTAGAAAAAGATAAAAAGAAAAATAAGATCGAGATTAAAATTAATCCTATTAGTTAGAATTGGGTCTAAAGGTTATTAACTGGTCTAAAGGTCTAAAGGTTATGAACTTTCTGTTCAGACTGCGTTGAAATTCGCAATTTTATATACATACATATATATCGCAATATATATATATTAGGTGTACAACTTTGCTTCCGCCGTTTTCTTGTAGATGGCGGTAAGTGGTGGTCGAAATAAATAGATCATAGACGTCATACAATAAACTTGGGCATCCGTTAACATAACCCCATAGAAACATTAGTCGATTTGTG